CCCCAGGATTACTGACAGTAAGAACACTGCTAGTTAGTTTGACTATAAGAATCATTTCACTATGTATATGTATATCAAAACATCATGTTGTAAAATTAACATTCAGAAATTGATGGCATTTTTATATACCAATAATTAACTCTCAGAAAGAAAAACTAAAATAACAATCCCATTTATCACTGCAACAAAAAATAAGGTACCTAGGAATAAACTTAACAGAGGAGGTAAAAGACTGTATTTAGAAAACTATAGGACATTGAAAAAAGAAACAGAGGAAGATACAAACAAGTGGAATGAATTGGAAGAATTAACATCATTAAAATGTCACAATCCCTATTAAAATACCAATGGCATATTTCACAGATCTAGGACAAATATTCCAAGTTTATGTGGAATCAAAATAGACCACAAATAGCCTCAGTAATCTTGAGAAAGAACGAAGTTGGAGGGATATCAAACTATATTACAAATCCATTGTAACCAAAACAGCCTGCTACTGGCATAAGAGCAGGCATATAGATCAATGGAACAGAACAGAGAACCCAGAAATCAACCCACACCATTATGGTCAATTAATATTTGACAAAGGAAGCAAAAGCTTAAAATGGAGTAAAGACAATCTCTTCAATAAATGTTGTTAGGAAAATTGGACAGGTACATGCAGAAGAAAAAAAAAAGATACTAGACCACCAAGTTACACCATATACAAGAATAAACTCAAAATGGAAAAAGACTTAAATGTAAGTCATGAAACCATAAAAATCCTAGAAGAAAACTAGGCAATAAAATCTCAGACATATTATGCAGCAGTATTTTCCCTGATACATCTCCTACGGCAAGGGAAACAAACAAAAGTAAACAAATGGGACTACATCAAACTAAAAAAACTTATGCACAGCAAAAGAAACCATCAACAAAAAGGGAACCCACTGTATGGGAGAACATATTTGCTGATACATCTGATAAGGGATTAATTTCCAAAATATATAAAGAACTTACACAACTCAGCACCAATAAGACAAACAATCCAATTAAAAAATGGGCAAAGGACCTGAATAGACACTTCTCCGAAGAGGAGATACAGATGGCCAATAGACACATGAAAAAATGCTCAACATGAGTACTCATTAGAGAGATGCAAATTAAAACTATAATGAGCTATCACCCCACACCTGCCAGAATGGCTACCATCAATAAATCAACAAACAAGTGCTGGTGAGGATGTGGGGAAAAGGGAGCCCTAGTACACTGCTGGTGGGAATGCAGACTGGTAAAGCCACTGTGGAAAACTGGAAAAATTAAAAATGGAACTGACTTTTGACTCAGCGATCCCACTTCTGGGAATATATCCTAAGAATTCTGAAACACCAACCAGAAAGAATACATGTACCCCTATGTTCATAGCAGCATTATTTACAATGCTAAGAGCTGGAAACAGCCCAAGAGCCCATCAGTAGATGAGTGGATAAAAAAGCTGTGGGACATTTACATCACAGAATACTATGCAGCTGTAAAAACAAAGGAAGTCTTACCCTTTGCGACAGCATAGATGGACCTGAAGATTATTATGCTAAGCAAAATAAGCCAGTTAGAAAAAGACAAATATCATATGATTCACTTACATGTGGAACATAATGAACAAAATAAACTGATGAACAAAATAGATCCAGAGACATGGATACATGGAACTGAATGACATATCTCAGAGGGAAGAGGGAAGGGGGATGGAGGGTGGTAAGAGATTAACAAAAGAAGTTATATGCATCATGGACACAGACAATAAAGTGGTAAAGGCCTGGGGTGGGTCGGGGCTGGGTGGAAGGGGGCAAAAAGGTGGTGGTGGATGGGGGATATCTGTAATACTGTCAATAGAATAGAGAAATAAATAAATAAATAAATAAATAAATAAATAAATAAATAAATAACCAAAAAAGAGCCATTATGTTGTATGTCTTAAATCTATACAATTTTTATTTTTAAAAAACTCAGTTTCTTCACAGAGAATTCTCACCTTCATCCACAGAGTGGATTAAGTCAAAACAGTAGTCAAAAGTACATTAAAAGAAGTCTAGGACCTTCAGGGTTTGGGAATATCACATGCAGGTGGTGCAGAAGATGTGTGATGGGGTAGGGGCACACAGTGCAGAGCCAAGCCCAGTTCCATGCATTTTCACAACTTTTCCTCCAGTGTGGTGGTTTGGCTTCTCAAGATCTATGCATAAATACCTGGACACACAAAAATCCAAAACACATCCCTCAAGGAACACAAAATGTATTTTTCAGAAAGGATCTATTCTAAATCCATATATAGGAAAAAACATTATCCTTAATGCAAAGGGAACACTCCTGCTAGAGGATCACCCAACTTATGTCACTGCACAGAAATATATAACATCTCATTAATGAAAGCTTACCTTTGTTGTGCACTTAGTGTAAGCTAGGGCGTTTTATATCTATCTCCATTTTGCAAAGAAAGGAACTGAGGGTCCAAAGACACATTGCTAATAAATGGCAAAGCAGGATTCACATCTAGGCCCACCTAACCAGTCAGTGTACTTAAAGTACTAGGTAATTTAATGTATTTGGTAAAACAACTTCAGTTAAACCAGTGGTGAACTCACTATTTTCTACAAGGAAATTTATGAGAATTTTTCATAAAATGGCATCATGATCATCATCTGTATATGGATATCTTCAAAGTAAACCCACTAATTCAACAATGTTTCCTGTGTACCACAATCCAGGCATTACAGGTGTTATGGAAGATGCAAATATGACTTCCTATAGGAATTTATAATCTATTGAGAGAGCAAATAAAAGACAAACAATTTGGCGAATACCACAGGAAGGGTGAAAAAAGTGTTATGGGGGTTTAAAAGTGGGAGAGATTATATATGCTTTGGGAAATGGGGAGCTTTATTTCAAACAATAGCAACTGTAAAATAAAAACAAATATAATATTAATGTAAAATCGAATAATAAAAAATAGACATCTACATAAGAGAGTTAAGACAAAATGAGGGATTACTGTTAGATATTGGGACTCTTCCAGCTGGCACCTTCCCTACCTTAAAATGACTGAATTAGTTTCCATGATTTTAGATCCACTGCTGTAATCATGGCTACAAACTTCCGTTCTCATAGGCAGATGTGCAGAAAGCAATACTCAAAATAACGCCCCCTCTGAATAGATGGGGAGCATATGGATGGTTAGCTGTCACAAGAGTAACACTGTTTAGTATTGGCGTGGGCACTCGTCATGGGTTCACTTTTACTGATGTTCGTAACGTGTATCAGTATGTTGACATCATTCTGCAGCCCTTATGAAATGGTGAACGACCAAAATACATCAAGCGATAGTCCAGGAGCTGTTCACAAATACGCAGACTGTTGTCTTTTGACAATGAGAATGCCCTTTGAAATCTGGAGTTCGGAAGTGGCACAAAATGTTATTCTAATACAAACTATCTTCCCTCACACGTGATTTTCTTTGGTTAAGTTTATGGCCCAAAACAGACACTAACGATATCGCTGTAAAAAAAAAATTTTCCCAAGCGATTGAAACTTCTCCCACCTTGGACTACTAATCCCATCATGCAAAGCTCCGCAAATCCCCACCGTGTGGGGTGGAGTCGTGGGAGGGGCGGGCCCAGCGGCGTCCGTGCATTCTGGGGATTGTAGTCTAGGGCTCCGGCCCCAGTCGGGACGGTCCACGTGGTGCGTTTGGCGGCAGCTGTGGTCAGCGGCCACCTCGTGCCCTCCACATGGTCCTCGGGGTGCCAGCTCTGGCGGGGGCAGACAGCCGCCGCGGAGCAGGCTGGAGAGAGGGTCGGAGGTAACCCGAGCCTTCGCGACGGTTTTGCGACAGCCGCGGCCGTGTTCCGAGAGTCCCCTCCCTCCTCCTCTCTCCGAGGAGGTACCGGCTGTTGTGCGGGGCTGCCTTTCTGTTTGAGTGCATGGGAGAGTGAGTGAGTGAATGAGTGAGTGTGAGCGTGCGTGTGGGAGAGGGTGAGGCGTGAGTGCGCGTTTCCGAGAAGGAGAACCCGCCGTGGCCGCCCTGCTGCTCCCCGCAGCGGGAGCAGAACGCGCGATCGGAGAGAGGAGGAGAACCGGCGCCCCGGGAGCCGGCGGGGACAAGGGCAGAGACACCCTCTCCCCACCCCCAGCCCTAGTCCCTCGGCTCTCCTT